TACATTTGTTCATGAAAAAATGATAGTTACAATACGTTGGTTTTGTTTCTCCTTTGTTTCTCCGTTGATGTTTAAATTGAGTTGACTTAATGTGCTTTTGAGTTGACTTTATGTACTTTTTAGTTGACTTCTCCTCCTTCTCCTGCCATTTCTTTAAATGGATTCAGTTTCTTCATTTTGGGGCTAAATGGTATGAAATTTGGTATGGAAGTACAGTGGGCAAATACCCCCAGGTGTTTTTTCTTCATTATTGTGATACAGGCTTTTAGAATGGTTTTATTTGAGCTTTTTGGCTGTGTTATAGAAAATGTACTATAGCAGTGTGTCACCGCATGAGTCATCAGAATTGCATGCAGAGCAAGAGCCAATAGGCATGCAGCTTTTCTCTATTCTTCTTGCTGATTGGCTGATGCCGTGCCATATTGACAGTATGAACTTCATTCAAGTGTTTTGGTAGGTATGTCAAGCTTTCCTGCTCCAGCATTGGAATGCAGGGCATAAACGCTTCTTTTTATCTTGAAAATCAACAGTGTGCATTATGCAATTAAAAATCCCAACCAATAACGTAGGGGATAGCTATCCAACTGTTGTCACTTCATACTATAGTTTAATCAATGTAAAGGGTTGTTTTCCCTTGTGTTTCTCCTTCTTTCCCTGCCATGCCGTAAAATGTGGTGAAGCCATCCGCTACATTTGCTCGAAAGCAAATGTCGCGAATGTCTAGTTATATCTTACTTGTTGAACGACGCGCGTGGCGCGTGGTTCTTCACCTCTGTTTGAGTTTCAAATTGATTTTCAAAACCATCGATTCAAGCTGGTAGTGTTTGAAATGCACTTATAAAAGATGTTTTCGCCGTGTCTACGAGATGTTAATTGGAGAAAGTAAGATTTAATGTAAAACCAGCGGGCGGGATCTGTACAGGAAGACAACAACAGTCGCCGCCATGAGTTGTGTTATAAGGCCATTTTGATTTGATTACATGGATGACATCCTCCATGAACCCCCCAAAAATGGCCCAAAAAAGAATGCTTTCATTATGAAATCTACGTGGTTTTGAAGGCTGAACAAATGATACAGAGTATGGTTTGGCGAATATATATGTTCTCACTGTATTCTCGATAGTGTTCTCACTGTATTGTTGATAGTGTTCTTACTGTATTCTTGATAGTGTTCTCACTGTATCCTTGATAGTGTTGTAATTGTATCCTTGATAGTGTTCTCACTGTATTCTTGATAGTGTTCTCACTGCAGTTTTGTTGATAGTGTTCTCACTGTATTCTTGATAGTGTTCTCACTGTATTCTTGCTAGTGTTCTCACTGTATTCTTGATAGTATTTGCACTGTATTCTTGATAGTGTTCTTATTGTATTCTTGAATAGTGTTTTCACTGTATTGTTGATAGTGTTCTCACTGTATTCTTGAGTGTTCTCGCTGTATTCTTGATAGTGTTCTCATTGTATTCTTGATAGTGTTCTCGCTGTATTCTTGATAGTGTTTTCCCTGTATTCTTTATAGTATTCTCACTGTATTCTTGATAGTGTTCTCACTGCAGTTTTGTTGATAGTGTTCTCACTGTATTCTTGATAGTGTTCTCACTGTATTCTTGATAGTGTTCTCACTGTATTCTTGATAGTGTTCTCACTGTATTCTTGATAGTGTTCTCGCTGTATTCTTGATAGTGTTCTCACTGTATTCTTGATAGTGTTCTCACTCTTTCTTGATAGTGTTCTCACTGTATTGTTGACAGTGTTTGCAGTGTATTCTTGATAGTGTTCTCGCTGTATTCTTGATAGTGCTTGACTGTAAATGTATACTTGAGTGTTTTCACTGTCTTCTCAATAGTGCTCACATTGTATTCTTGATGTAGTTTTCACTGTATTCTTGACTGTATTTCTTACAGTGTTCTCGAATATATAACCTTAGCTAGGGTAAAAGTATACATGCACGAACGCACTACATTTAACTCAGCCTCGACCTTTTGGTTATAAGTAACCCTACCCCTAGACCCTTGACGTTAGCCTAGTTAGATCACATGTACAGCTGTACAGTAATTAATTGGATTGCTTTCGTTCCAACCTAGGGGCAGAATAGGATCAGGTAAGTGCGACACAACATCAGTAGATAATTCTGAGGCTTTTAAGAAGGTAGCGAACGACCGGTTACTGGTTACCCAAGGTACCGACGCCTCAAAGGCATCCAGGGCAGTGTTTACGGCTTGGAAACCCGATTTTTCAGAGCCAATATTCTAGTCATTTAACTACATACTGAGTTGAAACCACACTGTCTCAATGTGTATTGACCCTCATGGAGCAAAAATACTCAAAATCCTGACGGAAAATGGTTACCGGAAGGGCCCTGGGCTGATTTTTAGGGTACCACCCAGAAAATAAAGGACTCATCTTGGGGCTTGTTTCTGCAGTTTTAAATGAACTGCTGACTCAAATGTGCTCATGTGAAGCAGTATGTGTCAACATCACAAAGATTGCCTTATTCAGAATATTTCCAGTGTTGCTGTCCTGAAATCACACTGGAAGCTAGGGTGATGATGCAGTCGTTACCTTGGTTATATGCATCAAATCTGCTGTAACGTTACTTGTCACACACATATGCGCTAGCTCTAGTAACTCTTACATATGTGGTGTACATTAGACCACAGAAAGTTAATTTTATGGATGACATCCTCCACAGACTCCAAATCTAATGCGATAGGAAAAAAAAACAAGGCGGGCCAAAAAAAAGCTATTCATACATTTTCAAATGTTGACATTATAAACCTTGTTAAACAAGAAATGATACCTATATTGTACTAACTTTACTACCAACTGTTAACATCCATTTGTCAATGAATGAAGAATTGAAGTTTTTAGCCAGTCTACAAGGGGTTTTGATTCAGTGGGAGCATATAAAAGGATTTAAATACTTTGTACATCACTGCACAAAAGTAAAAGAGAAAACATTAAATCAGAGCCTTGCCTTGTCTCCTCTCTTCATATTTATCTACCATTCACCTTCCGGCATGGCAAGACATGCCATTTTACCGGTTACCCATTTTCGGCATATTGACTACTGTCAGAGGGGAACAAAATTTCTTGCTTTTTTTTTCAAAATCAGGTGAAAATTAATGCGCGCGCTGATGGTATCCATAAAAATTACTTGCTGTGGCGTTATGCGAAGCCTCGGTTATAAGGGCATTGCATTTTTCTTAAGACCATCGCAGTATTTTCCCCTCGAATGAAAATGAATTGGTTCCTGGTCTCCCTGTTTCCTGTTCTGATTTTTTGGTCCACGCCAATAGGTATGTTTGCGCTTTTCTTGAAATCTGTCCCTTTTAAGTTATTCGATCGACCAAGATCTACATTGTAGGAAAGCAGTGTGCGAATGTATTAGGGTTTGTTTTATTCTTGATAGTGTTCTCACTGTATTCTTGACAGTGTTCTCACTGTATTCTTGATAGTGTTTCCACTGTATTCTTGATAGTGTTCTCACCGTATCCTTGACAGTGTTCTAATTGTATCCTTGATAGTGTTCTCACTGTATTGTTGATAGTGTTCTCACTGTATTCTTGACTGTAGTTTTGACAGTATTCTCGAATATATAATCTTAGCAAAGGTAAAAGTAAGCATGCACGAACGCACTACCTTGTAACTCAGCCTCGACCTTTTGGTTATAAGTAACCCTACCCCTAGACCCTAGACGTTAGCCTAGTTAGATCACATGTACAGCTGTACAGTAATTAATTGGATTGCTTTCGTTCCAACCTAGGGGCAGAATAGGATCAGGTAAGTGCGACACAACATCAGTAGATAATTCTGAGGCTTTTAAGAAGGTAGCGAACGACCGGTTACTGGTTACCCAAGGTACCGACGCCTCAAAGGCATCCAGGGCAGTGTTTACGACTTGGAAACCCGATTTTGCAGAGCCAATATTCTAGTCATTTAACTACATACTGAGTTGAAACCACACTGTCCCAGTGTATATTGACTCTCATGGAGCAAACATACCCAAAATTCTGACAGAAAATGGTTACTGGAAGGGCCCTGGGCTGATTTTAGGGTACCACCCAGAAAATAAAGGACTCATCTTGGGGCTTGTTTATGGGGTTTTAAATGAAATGCTGACTCAAAAGTGCTAATGTGAAGCAAGTATGTGTCAACATCACAAAGATTGCCTTATTCAGAATATTTCCAGTTTTGCTGTCCTGAAATCACACTGGAAGCTAGGGTGATGATGAAGTCGTTACCTTGGTTATACGCATCAAATCTGCTCTACTTGTCACACACACATGCGCTAGCTCTAGTACCTCTTACATATGTGGTGTACATTAGACCACAGAAAGTAAATTTTATGGATGACATCCACCACAGGCGAAAAAAAACAAGGCGGGCCCAAAAAAAGATTAATACATTTTCAAATTTGGACATTACTAGTATATAAACCTTCTATTCGTATACACAAAGCTATTGTTCCTTTTGGTATTCCTTGATTGTAAAAGGAAAATGTATTTTCTCTTGGAATTGTTTGAAAATGATGTTCCATTGTCTTCCACTGTTTCTTTCTTTTTGACTGTACGTGTAGTAGAAAAGTAATGCATTCTATATTTGTACTCACTGAAAACAATTACTAGGCTTATCGCGATTGACCAGATGGTAGTTTGTAGTGAATACAAGGTAGTTTGAGCCGAATGTCCGGTAGTTTGTGGCGAAATGCAAGGTATTTTGTGATAAAATCACCGTGATGCCGACCATGAAATTGGATTAAACAAGACAGCTTTTTAAAAAAGCTGGCCGGAGGCCGAAATGGGAATAGCTGGTTGGGTATCATGGGTGTGCACTATTAAAGACTCAAATAATTGGTCAGCTTGCTGACTTGAATTGTAGCAATGCTAGCTTGCCAAGACATGCTAAAAAAGCTGGCCGGAGGCCGAAATGGGAATAGCTGGTTGGGTGACATGGGTGCATGTGCACTATTAATGACTCAAATAATTGGTCAGCTTGCTGACTTGTAGCAATGCTGGCTTGCCAAGACATGCTTGAAGAAGCAACGTGTGAATATGGCCACTATGCCAAGCACATGATGGAATACGCGATTCTTCGGTGGTAGATAGCTCTTCCCCAGCATAAGAGTTATCTACCACCCAATAATTATGTCCAGGGGTATAAAAAGCGGAGGTTCCGCTGCAGTACAATGCAAAGTCGCTAGGGGACCCATAATCTAACTACTTTTTTGTGTCTCGTCACACAACCGGTATCAAGCAATTAATCTAAGACTTCTCGAGTTATGGTGTCGACATACAGACAGAATAATTCTATCCGGAGGGGTCGAGCCGAATTGATTTGTTTCATTCCGGCTTCGATCCTGCTTCGATCCGGATCGGAGCCGGATCAAATCGAATCAATTCGGCAATTTTATCCTAGTGGAAAAAGGGTCTTAGATGGAGAAAAACATCAGCAGATGTTAACTATGACGTAAATGACGACCTAATTTTAGGTCGTGGAACTCAAGCTGACACCGTAAGGAGTAAGGTAGCCTGGTTACCTTGTTATAAAGAAAATTAAACCAGGCGGGGTGCCTGTTTAGTTCCCTAGATGTATGGGGCTCTGACGAATGCACGTAGGTTCTTTTAAGTGTGCATATATGTTCACAGAAATCAACAGTTAAGGCCACAACAAGTAAATTTTATGGATGACATCCTCCGCAGACTAAAAATCTAATGCGAGCGGGCGAATAAAAACAAGGCGGGCGCAAAAAAAACAAAACAAGATTCCTACATTTTCAAATTTTGACATCATAAACCTTGCTCATAAACAAGAAATGACACATATATTGTTTATGTTTACTGCCAACTATTACAACATACATTTCTCACCGAAACAACCTTAAAAAATAAGTTTTTAATCACTGTACAAATGGACAGACATCTTTGCCCATTTTCGGCATGTTAACCACTGTCAGAAGGCAACAAAATTTCTTGCCTTTTTTTCCTCCAAAATCAGCTGAAAATTAATGCGCGCGCTGATGTCATCCATAAAAATTACTTGCTGTGGCCTTGTACAAGTGGTTTTCATTCAGTGAGGAATAAATCAATGAATACTTCACTGGACCAAAGAAAAAGACAAGACATTAAATTAAAGCCTTGTCTTGTCCTCTCTTCATATTTATCTGCCATCCACGTTCCGGCATGGCAACAGACATCTTTGCCCATTTTCGGCATGTTGACCACTGTCTGAGGGCAACAAAATTTCTTGCCTTTTTTTCTTCCAAAATCAGGCGAAAATTAATGCGCGCGCTGATGTCATCCATAAAAATTACTTACTGTGGCCTAAAAGACAAAACATTAAATCAGAGCCTTTTCTTGTCTCCTCTCTTCATAGTTATCTGCCATCCACCTTCCGGCATGGCAACAGACATCTTTGCCCATTTTCGGCATGTTGACCACTGTCAGAGGGCAAGAAAATTTCTTTTTTTTTCCAAATCAGGTGAAAATTAATGCGCGCGCTGATGTCATCCATATGTATCCATCTCTCTTCATAGTTATCTGCCATCCACCTTCCGGCATAGCAACAGACATCTTTGCCCATTTTCGGCATGTTGACCACTGTCAGAGGACAACTAAGTTTTTTTTAAATCAGGCGAAAATTAATGCGCGCGCTGATGTCATCCATAGAAATTACTTGCTGTGGCCTTAACGACTACTTAGTGAGTACATGTACAACGTGTGGCGTCTGGTAGGAGAAACGTTCTCTCCGTTACGTTTGAGTCAAGATGAATCGGTTTTTGGTCTGCCTGTTCCCAACTCTTCTCTTCTGGTCCACACCAATAGGTAGGTCTGCTTTCGGCTTGAAATGTAGCCTCCGTAGCAGGCTTATAGAACTGTAGCCTCCTTCGTAGACTTGTTGAGCGGCGGCATTATTTTTTTTCGGTGGGCGACGCGAGTTATGCCGCGGAGGGACGATTTTGCTGCCGAGGGAGTTCTTGCCATGGAGAGAAGGAGTGGGAAACCTTCTCTCCAGGGCAAAAACTCCCTCGGCGGCTTAACTCGAGCGATCGCGTCGCTCACCGTAAAAAATAATGCCGCCGCTCAACAATCTGTATCTGTATCGATATAGCCGGTATAACCGCCCTTCGGAGTAACACACCAGCTTCTGTATCTGTATAGCCGGTATAACCGCCCTTCGGCGTAACACACCAGCTTCTGTATCTGTATAGCCGGTATAACCGCCCTTCGGCGTAACACACCAGCTTCTGTATCTGTATAGCCGGTATAACCGCCCTTCGGCGTAACACACCAGCTTCTGTATCGATATAGCCGGTATAACCGCCCTTCGGCGTAACACACCAGCTTCGCAGGCACGCGTCGCGGCGGCAGCTAGCTATATCACACCGAACGACTTGTTACACTCAATTTTTGCACATTTGATTGCAAGAGTTGTTTAAAGCTTTCTAGTGATGATGCCCCTACTGTGCTTGGTGGCAACGAGTTCCAGTCTACGATACTTCTGGGGAAATACGAGTTTTTGAACACTTCAATTGTTGGTTGATAACTCTGATATTTGAAGGCATGACTGTTTCTTGTTCTTTTCTGGGCTGGTATCAGATACTCAGTGGTTGGTGCATTCACCAGTTTATTAGTCATCTAGTCTGCTAAGGACGCTAATAGAACTGGGGGTTTGAGCAGGCACTGTGCAACTGTGTTTTTTTCTGCAGTATTCCTGAATTATGATTTTCGTGCACATATGTTAATATTGTTATTGATGTTATTGCATATCCTTATTGTCACTGTTAGCGTCAAAGTAAGTATCTACAATGGACTGAACTGCCAAAGAAAAGAGAAGTGTTTTTTAGTCCATGCACGGCAAATTGGACTCTCAATGGCCGCCCAACTCCCCTGGCCAGTTACATTCTCTTTGTAGGCCGATTTCTACTATTTATTCAGCCTGCCTAGTGGCGTCGGTGGCGCAACGGTTAGAGCGTTGGACTCGGAACTGAGAGGTCCCGGGTTCGATACTCACCGTGGCCCGACGTTGTGCCCTTGGGAAAGGCACTTTACACGACTTCCCCACCTATACGGTGGAGTGACGCCCACCGAGCCTCTTAGGCTAATCTGTCTGTCAGGGTGCCAAAAACACAATACGGATTTGGTGCGCCGATGTGACAACATCTCATATTGGCCACTGAGAGCCGTGAATTTTTTATTCAGCCTGCAAAGGAGTCTGGTGGAGACTAAGTGCTTAATGTTGGGTTTGATTTCGGATGTAACAAAATGTTAAAGTGAGTAGACATGTTAACATTTTGCATCATTATTTCGCATTTACTGCATTTATTTATATCTGTAACTGTATAGCTGGTATAACCGCATTTCGACGCAACACTGCAGCACAAAGTATTAGAAAATAAGACTATATATGTAACCCTTTATATAATGTCAATATATAACGTTAAATCATTGTGCCAAACGCAGTGCGTATTTGGTGATCACTCTCGCACCTAACTCTCAGCTGAAAAAGGAAACTAAAAATAAAACAAGGGAAATCGTAGATTTCAAACCTCCGGGTTTTTTTGTGTTCTATTGGTTTAGGTTTGTGTGTAGTATGAAAGTTATGTGCGTAATATGTTTGTATGTGTTTGATGGCTACTGACGGTTGGTTCGGTATGGACTGTTGATTAACGTGTCTCACAGTCTGACAGCCTGCACCGTCACCCGCGCCATTACCCCCGCCGTCATCCCGCGCCGTCATTGCTGCGCCGTCACCCAAAATTTTTATCGGAACCAGACACCCCTCTGTTTGACCCCTTTTGAATGCTAAGACCCAAAACTGCAACCGCCCCATTCCTTAACAACATGGTAATTACCATTTTCAGCATGGCAGGGGTGTCCGGAGCACTTAAAAACCTTTTATTTCGACGCCCATAAACACATATGCAATTAAACAAAAACGTTCTGCATCATCTGCAGCCCAATAGCAATACGTATACCGAACCACAGACAAATCCGTCCAGCCGATCGCGAGAAACAGCTGCTGACAGAAATGTTTCGAACCATAGTAAAACCTAGGCCTCCTCGCGGAAGGATATCTCCTTCCCCGGAGGTAAATAGATTACTTCTCTATTATGTCTTTTGTATATTATTCCAAAAAAGATCTACTGTACAGATGCAGGGTACAGAAAAGGATGGTTCTGCATTTTCTCAATCATGTTTCTGTTTGTGATGTTTTATTTGATCTATTGAGCTTCACAGATTTCAAAATAAGAAATCTCTAACGGTCCTGGAACAGAAGCAACCTGTTTTTTCTACAAGGCCGGCGCCTTGAGGAATTTTTAATTCCAAAAAAAAACGATTACAAAAAGAAAATAACGAAAAAGCGATCAAAAGAGAAAAAAGGAAGATCAAATATCTATCCAATAGCATTTTATACGTAAAGTAATAAATTGATAACAATGGCACCAAGGACAGGTATGTTTGCCTGTGTGTGGATGGCGTTTAGCACCAAGGACAGGCATGCTTGCCTGTGTGTGGATGGTGTTCAGCACCAAGGACAGGTATGTTTGCCTGTGTGTGGATAGCGTTCAGCACCAAGGACAGGTATGTTTGCCTGTGTGTGGATGAAGTTCAGCACCAGGGACAGGTATATTTGCCTGTGTGTGGATGGCGTTCAGCACCAAGGACAGGTATGTTCGCCTGTTTGTGTGGGTGGCGTTCAGCACCAAGGACAGGCATGTTTGCCTGTGTGTGGATGGCGTTCAGCACCAAGGACAGGTATGTTTACATGTGTGTGGATGGTGTTCAGCACCAAGGAAAGGCATGCTTGCCTGTGTGTGGATGGCGTTCAGCACCAAGGACGGGAGAGAGTGACTGTTAGAAAAAAGACTTGGGACGGCAGATTTTTCCTAGGGTCGTTCGGATACTAGTGACCAGAAACGCAACATTTTTTGCTAGGGCCCATGAGGTTTCTCAAGACTGCAAAATTGCTTCTTAATTATAAAGTGGCATTTTCCTGGACTTGGGAAATGTTGTCGAGTTGTCTGCCGCATAATTGCTACTTATCAAGACCTGATTTTCCTCTATGAAGGGGGAGGGCAATCTAATGACACTATTCGCGTTAATTCAATATTGCTGGTGACGTGTTAAGACCGCATGAGGCGGAAATATATTTCCTGTTTACTAGGCCACAGCAAGTAATTTTTTATGGATGACATCAGCGCGCGCATTTATTTTCACCTCAGATTTGGAAAAAAAGACATTTTTTTGCCCTCAGTTCCCTATGTTCCTTACTACTTCGAGGGTCCACATCACTTTCACACCTACACAACTGTAATGTTTTTGATGTAGTTCAAAAATTTACTGTACGGGTAGATTCTCGTAATTGATAGATCACCAACTTGTCTTGTTTGTATTTATCTTGGTTTTATCCGCCTTGTAATTATGCATGTATCTTGCATGCATGAGTGAGTGAAGCATACAATGCAGTGAAGCATACATCCGACATCGGCTGAAAATTCATGGGGAGTCTTTCCTTTGTATTGGAACAAAACTCAAATTTTCCAATCATTTTATGTTTATATTCAACAAAGATGGTATCATTCTGTCAGCATGTGCCCCGGGCATACACTCTGTACCCTATTCATCTGTATCTGATGGACATATAGCGACATCAAAGAAAGTAATTCTGCCTTACGTAGGTTGCTGTTGCAAGGCAATTAAAACTAGAAAGGCCGACATTTGTTTTTGAGCAAATGTAGCGGATGGCTTCACCTCATTTTACGACATGGCAGGGAAAGAAGGAGAAACACAAGGGAACAAAATTCTTTACATTGATATAACTATAGTATGAAGTGATAACAGTTGGATAGCCACCTACCTACATTATTGGTTAGGATTTTTAATTGCATGATGCAAACTGTTGATTTTCAAGATAAAAAGAATGCTGGAGCTGGAAAGCTTGACATACTTACCAAAACACTTGAATGCAGCTCATACTGTCAATATGGCATGTACAGGTGTTAATTGAGTTTGTGGTGAAGCCATAATGAGGAAAAACAATATGTCTTCACCACATAGCACGTGGTGAAGCCATAACAATCATCAGAGGAATGATTACTTTTCCTTCTTGTAGTAACCCCCAAACCACCATATGGGGTCAAAACTGACCCCAGGTGGATGTAAATATGTGCCATTTTGACATTTCCTGTCGAAAACGAAATTCCGTCTACGAGTTTGTTTCTATAAATGTCTAATAACTTCTCACGTTATGCTACGTTGTAACTAGTGATGCATACCTAAACCCAATTTTAGGTTCAGGTCCGGATTCAAGTCCAGAGGTTTAGGTTCAGTTCCGGACTTGTAAGTCCGGACCTAAACCCATGGCACATACAAAATTGCATGTTGGCAACCTTGCAATGTTGTCTGGGTATAACTTTGGCCACATAACATGGAGGCCGGTACTTGCAATTGACGATGCCCGATGGCAATGTTTTCTTCGTTTTGCAGCAAAGATTTTACAATCTACGGAAGGTTTTAGGTGGTTTGGAAAGAAAAGGGGTATGTGAAATGGTCTTTTATGGTAATAAGTCCGGACTCGGTTCTTGACTTTTAGGTTTTTTTGGACTTGAACCTAAACATTCTTACAAGTCCGGATCCAAGTCCAGTGAACTGGTATGCATCACTAGTTGTAACGTTAGTAGTATGTAGTTAAGCCTCATCACGTTGTAGTAGCATATGTGCATAACGACTCCAGGTAGATTAAGTATGTAACAGAAGCTCAGTCTGTACAAACCCATTTTTCTCATGCAAAACATTATGGGATCAGTTTTGACCCCATACGGAAAAAATCTACGGTGGTTTGAGGGTTAAATAAGAAAATAATTGTACATCATTGGCACAAACTTGTATGCCGACTGAAAAATACCCTTTCTGTTTCATATAATAAAAAATATGGTATTTTGTTATCATATGGTCTATCATTCTAGCCATTCTTTTATTCATAAGGAGCTCAAATCGGCCTGCATGCAGCTTTTTAATTCTTTGAGTGAAAAGGTTAGTGTCAGACACAATATACCAAAACGATGTGGTTACGTAAAAGACCTGGAGGACCTCATGCACTCGGCGCACAGGATGAAAGTACCGAAAGCTCGTAGCAGTAAGGCCACAGCAAGTAATTTTTATGGATGACATCAGCGCGCGCATTAATTTTCGCCTGATTTTGAAAAAAAAAAAGAAATTTTCTTGCCTTCTGAAAGTGGTCAACAACATGCCGAAAATGGGCAAAGATGTGTGTTGCCATGCCGGAAGGTGGATGGCAGATGAACATGAAGAGAGGAGACAAGGAAAGGCTCTGATTTAATGTTTTGTTTCTTACTTTGATGCAGTGATATGTGATGATGGCTGTGTATATGCGATGTTCCCACTGAATCAAAACCATTTGTACAATGATTGAGTCAAAATTTTAAAATGTAGGAACCTTGTTTTTTCCGGCCCGTCTTGTTTTTATTCGCCCGCTCGCATTAGATTTGGACTGTGTGGAGGATGCCATCCATAAAAGTTACTTGCTGTGGCCTAATATCTATAATGCCAAAGGTTACACTATTTTCTAACAACATAAATGTTTCGACCAGTCCTCTGGTAACTAATTTACGTGACTTGTACGTTCGTTGAATGTGTTTCAACGACCATTAGGAAGGGTTGTATCGCCCGAAACATGCGTCAAACGCATAATGTAGAGCTTCAATGGATGTCTAGATCTTGCGGCGCAGCAAATTTCTGTCTCCCATTAAAACGGTCATCGACTTTCGATGCCATATCGTTGACTGGTCTATGCCATATCCAAGCGTATCATAACTTTTTTGAGGTCCAAAAAACGTATAAAATGTAATATATACTACGTTATACGTTGTTTATGAAAGTAGACCAGATTCTTAGTACAGTGAGTCGAACTGTTAGAGATATTTTTAGCATCACCAACTATGTATGTATATTTTGTTAAACGTTGTACCTGGTATAGTACATCTATTGTCTTTCATACTTCGAAGGATATAACTAGAGTTCCACGATCTCATACCTTCGCCAAATGATGTGAACCATTCCGGTGGACGAATTATACATTTTTACTCATAACATTAATTTGGCAAATAAGAGCCCCATTTGTATGGATTATATCAGTTGATCATATTCTCTACCCAAGCGTATCATAACTTTTTTGAGGTCCAAAAACGTATAAAATGTTTGAGAGTGTAACACGAGTTCCACGACCTCATACCTTCGCCAAATGATGTGAACCATTCCGGTGGATGAATTATACATTTTTACTCATTGATTTCGCAAATAAGAGCCTCATTTGAATGGATTATATATTAAGTTGATCATATTCTCTACCCAATGACAGCCTTTCTCTTGTACTTTTCTACTAATTGATTTCGCAAATAAGAGCCTCATATGCATGGGTTATATACGTTGATCATATTCTCTACCCAATGACAGCCTTTCTAGGCTATTCTAGCACTTCCTCATAAATTATGCAAATAAGGTCATGATTTGAATAAATTATGTTTATTGCTGTTTACCTTTACTTAACTTCCGAATGCAGCAAGTATAAAATTTTCAGCAGTTACTACTAGGAAATTATAGCAATTTCTCATTGATTATGTAAATTAGGTCTTAATTTACATAATCTATATTTTGAGATATTGCTCTCGCTCTGAATTATATACTAGTATATTATATCTCACGAAACATCACGGTGTGGATGGACCGTGCTGATACACGTGAAGTTAGCCGGTATGCGATATGGCATCGACCGTTTCAAAAGGCGAAGGCCGCTTATGAGACGAAAATTACCTGCGGCGCATCTTTTCCTCTGGCTAGCTTGACGAACATCTTACACAAAAACATGCGGGTGTAATTTTTCAATCATTCCTACGTAGGTTCCTACTGAACCCAATTAAGGCCTTGCTCATTTGATGATATGGATGAATTTTCGTCAGTTTCCAAAAAAAAAGTTTGTTGTACTGTAAACCGTACAAAGCAGCTACAAAATGAGCAAATACATGCCGTAAATGAAAAAAATAAAAGAAAACGGTACTAATGTCGTAGAATGCCAAAATCAATTCCAAAGCAAAAAAAGAAAATGTGAAGAAATGAAAAGAAAGAGTCTATTATTCCCCATACCATACTCTGTGTGTTTAATAATTTGTTCAGCCTTCATGACCATGTAGTAGATTTCAAAATGAAGACAACTTTTTTTTGCCAAAATCCCAGAAGATATCATACATATAATCAAATCAACATGGCCTCTAAACTTGTTAGTGATGGCTTGTCTAGTTAGGCCATGTTGATTTGATTATATGGATGACATCCGCGCGCGCATGAATTTACCCCCAAAAAGTTTTCAACCATACTGTAAATCGTACAAAACAGTTGCAAAATGACCAAATACATACCGTAAGTTGAAAACAAAACATTGGAAAACGATACCAATGTCGCAGAAAGCCAAAAATCAAACGAAAAAGACGAAAATGTAAAGAAATGAATTTGAAAAGTAGATTATTCGCCAAACCATACTCATTTGTTCAACCTTAAATACCACGTAGGTTTCATAATGAAAGCAACTTTTTTTTTGGCCAAATTTTTTTTTATTCGCACGCTCGAATCAGTTTTGGGTTCCCAGAGGATGTCATCCATATAATCAAATCAACATGGCCTTAAAACCTGGATAGATTCAAACGTCGTTCTGTTTTTTTTGCAGTGACCGTTCTACCGTTGTTGGAAGCGCGCCCAGTGCATGTGGCTCCCACAGAAAGTCAGCAGCACAAGAATGAACACACATCTGATGCACCAGGAGATCCATACCCGACAGATTTGGGTAAGAGAGATTTTAAAATGTATCGTATCTGTATCTAAATAGTCGGTACAACCGGCCTTCGGTGTAACAGTCACCAGCTTCTGTATCTGTATAGCCGGTATAACCGGCCTTCGGCATAACACACCAGCTTCTGTATCTGTATAGCCGGTATAACTGCCCTTCAGCATAACACACCAGCTTCTGTATCTGTATAGCCGGTATGACCCCCCTTCAGCGTAACACACCAGCTTCTGTATCTGTATAGCCGGTATAACCGCCCTTCGGTGTAGCACACCAGCTTCTGTATCTTTATAGCCGGTATAACCGCCCTTCGGTGTAACACACAAGCTTCTGTAGCTGTATAGTCGGTATAACCACCCTTCGGTGTAACACACCAGCTTCTGTATCTGTATAGCCGGTATAACCACTCTTCGGTGTAACACACCAGATTCTGTATCTGTATAGCCAGTATAACCACCCTTTGGCGTAACACACCAGCTTCTGTATCTGCATAGCCGGTATAACCGCCCTTTGGTGTAACACATGTACACCAGCTTCTGTATCTGTATAGCCGGTATAACCGCCCTTCGGCGTAACACACCAGCTTCTGTATCTGTATAGCCGGTATAACCGCCCTTTGGTGTAACACACCAGCTTCTGTATCTGTATAGCCGGTATAACCGCCCTTTGGTGTAACACACCAGCTTCTGTATCTGTATCTGTATAGCCGGTATAACCGGCCTTCGGCGTAACACACCAGCTTCTGTATCTGTATCTGTACATGTATAGCCGGTATAATCGCCCTTCGGCGTAACACACCAGCTTTTGTATCTGTATAGCCGGTATAACCGCCCTTCGGCGTAACACACCAGCTTCTGTATCTGTATAGCCAGTAGAACCGCCCTTTGGCGTAACCCACCAGCTTTTGTACCTGTATAGCCGGTATAATCGCCCTTCGGCACAACACACTAGCTTCTGTATCTGTATAGCCGGTATAACCACCCTTCGGCGTAACACACCAGCTTCTGTATCTGTATAGCCGGTAAAACCGCCCTTCCGCGTAACGCACCAGCTTCGCAGGCACGCGGCGCGGCGGCAGCTGGCTATATTACACCGATCGACTTGTTACACCTAACCCTTGAACATCTAACTCTAGGCACTGTTTAAAGCTATCAAATGACAATGCCCCTACTGTACCTGGTGACAGTGAGTTCCACTCTGCGATAGTTCTAGGAAATAATGAATTCTTGAACGCCTCAATCCTTGGTTGATAACTCCGGTACTTGAAGGCATGGCTATTTCTTGTTCTCTTCTGGGCTGGTATTAGGTACTTAGTAATTGGGACGTCTACTAGTTTTAAGACGTATTGCGTGACAAGAACGTTTTGACATTTGGGTTACGAATCAACCTGAGTGGCTTCTTGGGGCCATTCGAGCATGAAATACTGTTGCCCCTTCTGAAAAGTCCATCTAGAAATTATGTTCGGTTCATGGAACACAAATAATTGATGTTGCACTTCTCTGCAATGTCAATGCTCTTGATTTGAGTGCGGTAACCTCTCAAGTTATATTAAAAATGACAGTTAGTGTTTCAAACGAAATAGCATGAAGGCTACAGCAAGTAATTTTTATGGATGACATCAACGCACGCATTAATGTTCGCCTGATTTTGAAAATAAAAACTCAAGAAATTTTGTTGCCCTCTGACAAAGCGATTGGATGGCAGGTAAATGTGAAGAGAGGAGACAAGACAAGGCTCTGACTTAATGTTTGGTCTTTTACTTTGAAGCAGTGATGCATTTCATTAAGCTTAAGGTACATGTAGTAGGCTAGGTATAGCGTTGTATGGTGTCATTTTGAGATTTATCTAAGTAGATTGCTTGTAATTATGTTTACCTTCGCAGAAGAAAACACATTTGGTATTGCTCTGTTTCTTCATCTTTGTCAATGACCTGGACCAGACGTCTGTCACCATGGTAACTGGGGTTGTAGCACCCTATGGTACTGTATTACATTATGTTGCAGGACAGAGTTGGGGGGCTGGTCAACATATATGTATGTGAATGTGCTTGAGTAAAAATGAGATGTGCTTGAGACCATTGTGGCCAGACCATGTGAACAGGTAAACATGATGCATTTTTTTGGCGACGTCTCAGGGAGGAGCCTAATGGTACAGTATTGTGTGCAGTTTGCAAGAATTCTAGGAATGGTACAGGCATTTTGTCCACAGGCATGCGGAATGTCCACAGGCATTTCTCTGACCCACATCTATGCCCACATTCCTGGAAACCCTTGAGAAGACCTGTCTGCCCCAGATGGCCCTGCTTTCTCTGACCCCGGGGCTCGTTCACTATACACTCAGGGGAGGAATACACTGTATCTATCTAAACTTAACAGATACCAAGTCTTCCTCAAAATCATGAAATGATGGCAGTGCCATGCAAACAATAACCCTAACAGCAACCACCGTCGCCATGGCAATGCATGTTTTCATATGCCAGTCTTGTTTGCCAATGTTACATTTCTAGCTATATTTGAAATCGCGCTACCACTTTTTCAGGAGTACTCCCGACAACATCTGGGTCCGAATATCCCTGTGTTGGCGATCTGGACTGCTTCAACATCGGCAACGTCACATCCGGTAGGTTACCCATAATTCCGTTACCCAGTTACCCGGATGTACATGTAGCTCATGGTCTATCAATATTAAAGGACATTATATCCTTGGGTGGTCTAAACATACATGTAGGAACTGTGGTGTGAATCTTATGTGAAAACAAAGTGTTTTTGCTCTGTTTCTTCTTCTTCTCCAAACCAATGAGGCCAATGACCTGAACCAGACGTCTGTCGCCATGGTAACTAGTGTTGGGTTACACCATGCATGCTGCAATTTTATAGCAGGAGGGATTTAGACTCCTGTCTTCCCATATATATGAATGTGTAAGAATTAACATAGCAGACCATATGCGAAGATAACTATTATGCATTGCTTTGCAAATGTTACCTTTCTAGTTATAATATTTACCTCACCTCACAGGTAACTCATCGGTTACCGAGTCCACGAGCGAATCCAAATCTGACTCAAACAGCGATCATGATGTTCCGATGCAAGTCATGGTGATCAGCTCTATCGTGCTGGGTCTCTACAGCATTGTGGGCACGGTCGGCAATGGACTGGTCATCCTGGCCTTCTGCATGTACAGACAGGTATACAACAAGTCTCCACTTTATCTTGAAAGTTCATCTGTGTTGGTAGAAATCATTATGAAGCAAGTTTAAACTGTAATATCCAACATAAAGAAATAGGACTCACCCAAATTTTTGACTGCACAACTCCAGTCTTTGTCAAGGAATGAGCAATCCACCGCTTCCGTGACGTCACGCAGGTAACACACGTGACTCCGTGAGCAGTGGATCATAGGTTGCAGAAAGTCTGTGGTGCCCCCCGTCTCTGTTGAGGGATGGCTGTAATGCCCTGATGTAAATGGCCTCTTTAACTTGCTTCATAAGTCTCCATTTTCTATAGTCAATGGGCTAAAAAGATGTAGCGTTGCTTGTAGATTCTTCCCACTGCAGTGCCATCTAGCGGTGGGAACTAGAACCAGTCATTAACCTGAAGATTGCACTGAATATTTAATATTTAACCTAAATCTGCCAACTTTGTGTGAATTTATTACTATGAAAAAGGCGGTGTTTTGATTCCAATTACGTTTATTGAAAGAAAAGATTGTTTTTGCTCTGTTTCCTCTTCTTCTTCTTCAAACAAATAAGATCAATGACCTGAACCAGATGTCTATCACCATGGTAACTAGTGTTGCAATTTTATAGCAGGAGGGATTTAGACTCCTGCCTTACCATATCATATATGTACGTGTTTGAATAAGAATTAACAGAGCAGACCATATGCGAAGGTAAACATTCTGCATTTGCTTTGGAAATGTTACCTTTCTACATATGCATAATTTTCAAATTTTGTGCATTATGTGATTCTGACAGGTGCGGACGTCTGCTCACACGTTCATCGTGAGCATCAGCGTGAGTGACATCCTCATCACAGGCCTGCAGTACCCAACCGGGATCGCTTCGATGATCATCGGCGCTCCGTCCCTCGGCGAAGCCATGTGCCCCATCCTGGGCGCTACTCTCTTCTTCAGCATCTATGTCTCACTGTTTTCTGTGTTGTTGATCGCCTTCAATAGATGCACACACATCACAAAATCACCAAACACGTACCAGTCCCTCTTTGCCCCGCTCAGGTCCTTCCTGTGGGTCGTGTTGTCGTGGGTTGTGAGCGCGCTGCTGGTAACGCCTGGGTTTCTAGGCTACGGCGAATTCGGGTGGGGGGCTGAGCACAGAAAATGCGGAATGACAGACGGTAATGCCTACAACAAACACTACGTGTCGAACATCTACGCTCTGTCCTACCTGATTGTGTTCTGTCTTGTTGCTGGGGTCTATCTCAGGATCTACTTCTATGTGAAGGATTCTGTGGTGACCATGGCTGCAGCCAATCTGAACCTCGCGAACCCCGAGCAGTATGTCTCGGCTAGGGTGATCAAACAGACGAAACACATGTTCATCATCTTCACTGTCTTCACTGTCACGTCTGCCCCGTTTGTTCTGCTAGGCAGCATCGATAGCCATCTGCCTTTCATGCCACGTGAAGTGTCGTTTGTGCTGATCGGTATGTACTGTTTGAACCATGTCCTCAACCCGTTTCTGTATGCCTGGAAGCTCCCCGTGTTCAGACGCGCTTTCAAGGCCATCATCAGGTGCAAGCGGCACCTGCCGTTCCAGCCTGGGGCTGCAGCCATCTAAGGCCCTGTTCATATGAAGCCGCCCGAACCGCAATTCGGGTAACTCGCATTCCTCACATCTGGTCCACGTGCCATACATTCCTTTCAAACCGTGCCCGATCACGATTCTCCGAAACTACATTCATTGATGTTTGATGAAAACACGCAAGGTAGCGTGTTATTAATGTCAGAGGTCAATGGCCTACTTGCTGAAACCACCTCTAGAAGTGGCTTGGGATCGAGGCACTTTCAATGTGATTTGGAGCGTTTTGATGGGGCCACTTGAAACTGGCTTCGGGGGAAACCACATGTAAAGCGCCTTCACTGACTTCATATGAACAGGGCCTAAAAGTTCAATACACAGAATGCTCCTGTTCCCAAAACACGATACAACACATTTTATGTTTACCTCCTTTATCCTGCTCACTTTTATGTTCAGGCCACATGCCACATGACCAAAAAAAAAAAAAACAAATAAAACAATTTTAAAGGCCTGTTTCAAACAAAATATTAAAAAAAACACGTCCGGGGGTATTTGCCCACTCTACCTCCATGCCAAATTTCAGGTCATTCGGCTGAAAAATGGCAGAGTTGAATCCCTTTAAACAAAGAAATGGCAGGAGGAGGAGAAGGAGAAACATGAGAGAAAACAATATGTCCCCCAGCCACGAAGTGATGTGGTGAAGCCATAATAATGAAAGAGAAAAAAAGGAATATACAATCTCTGTTGTACATGTTATATTTTGTGTTAGTTATACTATTATATGTAGTGATGTACATAAGAGAACCTTTGTTAAAAGACTGGTTTGTACATGTTTATGCATTATGAAATAAAGACTGAGCTTTAATTTCCAACACTAGATACAGAATTGGGACTAACCCCAAATTTTCGGTTGACTCCATCAACCTTGTTCACGAAATGGACCTGTCTACTCTTGGAACGTGACGTCAGAGACACGTGACCGTAGTAGCGGGAGTTTGTAGACCGTAGTATGTGCCAGATAACTTGTGTCGCCCCCCATCTCTGTTCAGGGTAGGTCTGTGAGCTCTTATGTAGACTGCCTCCTTAACTCCTCTTGCAAAGAAGTCCGATTCAGAATCAAGGATTTTAACCCCTTCTAGCACGTATGACCCGCTACTATGGTCACGTGTCTCTGATGTCACGTTCCAAGAGTAGACGGGTCCAATTTCCGTGAACAAGGTTGATGGAGTCAACCGAAAATTTGGGGTAAGTCCCAATTCTGTATCTAGTGTTGGAAGTTAAAGCTCAGTCTTTATTTCATAATGATTTGTACCAACACAGATGAACTTTCATGCTATGTTTATGCAATGTTGACTGTTCTCAGTCATTGGTGTTGCGGAGCACAATCAAGGTTTCCCAAGATTTTGGACAGATATGAACAGAATTATTTTTCTGCATCAACTTAGTCTTTTACAGAATCCTCTGAACATTGACATTTGATGTAGTCACAAAAGACACTCAATGCATGCTGGAAGAAACAGGGTACTATGGGTAGCTGATTTTTGGAAATGTATTTTTCTATTTTTGATAGATTGATATGATGATGATGAAAATATATAGTGATAAAGCAATCAAAAGAGAAAATGCAATATATTTTGTGACGTATTATGGCATATCTAAAAAGTAACCCTCGCTATGTACTGTTAGCAGTACACTCCTAGTTAATTATCAGTCAGTGTTTCCTTCCTGTTACTTCGTTACTAGTGTTTCCATAGGTAGATATTGGAGTAGTCTCTTAGAATTGATGCATTTGCCATACTTTGTATATTTTGTATGATGTACAATGCACTTTGTATGCCTTGTTCTATTCTTGAGCAATAAAGAATATATTTGACGGTATTAACAATGAGGCATGTTTGAAATTTATCTGAGCAAAAGCTAACCAATTTCATCTCTCAACATGCCTATGCCTATACCCTTTTGTTAATGGATTCTCTATGTCACAGTTGCCCCTCATCAGGGACAGTTATAACTGCATATCCCTTAGTATTCCGACAGGGGGCATCTTGTGGCAGTGTGAGCACACAGCAGGAGACTCCCATGCTGTCGTTTGGTAGACTGGGGCCCTTGGACCATCTGCCTGTTAGATAGCTGTATATCTGAACCTGGAATTAGACAGAAAGTTCGTTCAATCCAAAAATCAGTCAGTCAGTCAGTCAGTCAGTCAGTCAGTCATGACAGTCAGTCAGTCAGTCATGACAGTCAGTGAGCCAGTCAGTCAGTCTATGTCAGTCATTCATAACTGTCAGTCAGTTATGATAGTCAGTCAGTCATGACAATCAGTCAGTCAGTTATGACAGTCCGCCATGAGTCAGTCAGTAATGATAGTCATGGCAGTCAGTAATGACAGTCAGTCAGTCATGACAGTAAGTCAGTCATGACAGTCAGTCATGGGTCAGTCAGTCAGTAATGATAGTCAGTCATGACAGTCAATCAGTCATGAGTCAATCAGTCAGTAATGACAGTCAGTAATGACAGTCATGAGTCAGTCAGTAATGACAGTCAGTCCGTCATGACAGTCAGTCATGAGTCAGTCAATCAGTAATGATAGTCAGTCATGAGTCAGTCAGTCATGAGTCAGTCAGTCATGAGTCAGTCAGTCATGAGTCAGTCAGTCAGTCATGTCAATCAGTCATGACAGTCAGGCAATCAATCAATCAATCAACCCATCAAAAATTCTATCAATCAAACTCGACAGTCGTCTTCCACGATATTGATGTTCTATCGCTAAATCATCTTCATAAACAAAATGGGTCAAACTGTTACCTTGTCAATAGAGCTGCACCGTGTCTTACACCAGGAGGACCCGCCCACGAGGTAGATTTTCGTTCCGAGGACTGCCACCCCTGCGCCCCCTTGTGGACGGATCATGCACTCCACCTCCGTCCACGTCTCCGAGTTCGTGTCGTAATATTCCACGGACAACGCGTTGGTGTGGATCATAGACGATATGGTCTCTACGCCGCCAGCTACGAAGATTTTCTCTCCGAGCGCGCACATCTGGTGCAGTGCACGCGACGTCCGCATGGGGGTGCACGAAAGCCACCTGTTCCGGCCGGGACTCCGACGCGGACTGTAGGACCACATGGTCGGCTTCGTGCGGGCGTCTCTCCCGAATCCGCCAGTCAGATACAGCCGGTCGTTGAGGCTGACGGCCGCGTGTCCGTGCCGGGTTTCCCGTAGCGGAGTCACGTACTCCCAGCGGTTTTTGTCCGGAGTGAAACACTCCACGGTGAACAGCGGGCCGATGTTGTTCTTACCGCCAGCAGCATACAGCTGGTTTCCAATAGCAACCAGGCTGAAGTCAGCCCTATACAAAGATGCAAGAAAGCCCGCATCTATAAGAGCCAATATTATGCTGAAATGCCTTTTGATATAAAAGTGACAGATTCCAGGATTTTTCCACCAAATTACATGTAGCTTTGAAAAAAAAAAAAAACTTTCTTAATGTTCAACTGGACTAACTATGTATTTTAATACATACTTAGTCAAGTTGAACATTAAGAAAGGTTAAAAATGCAAATGTAGATATATCATGAACATCAGTCGGATAATTGAACATTGCGTATGTGCAATCAGTGCATCTGCCGCCATATTGGTGTCCTATTTGCATTTCAGCAAATGGTGGCCTAAAATGCACATACATGTACATATTTTGCCTTTGTTTCAAAATCGCAGTCCTTTCCTACTGGTTGTATGTTGAAACGGGTCCAAGAAAAACCTTGCGATGAAACCTAAAAAAAACGCGAACGCTCGAGCACTTAGGTTCACTGAACTATGAAAATCAACACCAATATGGCGGACAGCGTTTGTTGCCATGACGACCCCATGATTGACATGACCATAGCCCTGCAGCTTTACCGTGACGTGTTCATTCTGGAGACGGGCAGCCACTCGTCCTGTCTCGGGTCATACCGCCAGGATCGCCACCCCACCGAACCCACGTAGATCGGCGCCCTGGAAAAGCCGCAGCAACAAAATTTAACACTGTTTAAAGTTCAAACTTTTGGCCCAACACAAAAATTCTCAAGGCCCACCCCCTTCACTTAACCGTGACGGGGGCCGACATTGTCTACATTGACACAGTGTTGACTTCACACTTCAAAGAAGCCACGTGACAAAACTCACTGGGTCAGTCTACTGAGGACGACCAGAGTGACTGATCAAAAGCTCTAGGTGAGAGAATTTTTTGTGTTGGACCAAAATTTTTAACTTTAAACATGTAACTACCAACACAAATGAACTTTCATAATAGTGAAATTTAACGCTCATAAAACGTATGCATTCTTGGCATGTTATGAAGTTGAAAACATTACAACACGAGTTGATTGATGTATGAGTGGGTATCGCTAGGTGTCTTACCTATAGGGATCGCCAGGTGTCTCTCTTTCTCCACCGACTAGGTACACAAAGTTGTTCAGGACAGCTGCACTTTGATGTGTGAGCGTTTCCGGCATCCTAATATAAAAGAAAGTTTGAGGAGATGTGTTAATGTAATTTTTTATATTTTGTGTAATTGTAATAATTAATTATTGTAAGTACACATGTATAATTATTGTAATATTGTAAAAGCTCTGAAAATAACATAGAGAGAGAGAGGGAGGAATTGAGAGGGAGAGACTGATCATGAGGGGAAGACTGAGAGGGAGAGACTGAGAGGGAGAGAGAGAGAGGGAGAGAGAGAGGGGGGAGAGAAAGGAGAGAGACTGAGAGGGAGAGATACTAAGAGGGAGAGTGAGGGGGAGAGAGGGAGAGAGATACTGGGAGAGGGAGAGAGAGAGGGAGGGAGGGAGAGAGAGAGAGAGAGGGATTCGGGAGAGAGACCGAGAGGAAGAGGGAGGGAGAGGAGAAACAGATAGGGCAAGAGAGAGGGGCAGAGAGGGAGGGAGAGAATATACACACCTTGTTAATAGTTGCCAGTCTCCTAGATATGGGTTCAGAAAGTAGACATCTTCTGACGGCTGATCTAAGTGCGACTCCCTTCCCCCAAAAGCCACCACCGTCGTAAATTCCGACCGCACTTCAGTTTTCCTCTGTTGAATCAGCGGCTGCGAATGAAGTTCCTCGTCATACTTCTTCATGTCTTCCCACAAGTCTTTGCAACCCATGTCCTCTACAAACCATTTCATTGTGTCATCTAAACCTCTTCGACGAATCAACGTCAATCTGACTTTTTCTAGCAGCATCCTTCCATACTCTTTTCTTTCAGGGCTCCGGGAGATCCACCAGCGAACAACGTCAAATACTTCCTCCTCGGAATTCACTTGCAAAGCGTTACTCTCCAGGAGTTTGGCAACTCTTTCTGCAGGTAACTCAGCAAAATACTCTGTGTCCAACATCGTTTGAAAGTTTCGTAGAACGAAGTCGTCAACCACATCTTGTAGTTCCTGTATGCCATAGAACTGTGCAAGTTCGTCAAGGTCTGCACAGTTTTCAATGTCGATGTTTTCGGACAGAAAGTTACAGCAGACGTCAACAACCCCCTTGCATTGAAGAACGTGTGCGATGTTGATGATATCTTGAATGTTTTGCACTTCTAGTGGAATGCACGAAGAGTACACGAAGTCTATGACGTCTTTCAGCATGGCAGGTTCCATATCTCGTAGCCAGATCTGTTTATCGTGCGTTTCGCGCATGCCCGAAGCGAACATGGCGTGGAAATAGTCCGATGCCGCAGCTAGAACTATTTTGTGCGCAGGGATTTTGACGCACTCCGACACCACAACCACATCACAGCAGATGGTATCCTTCCGCATCACATACAACCCTTCCAGCAAGTCCAAATGATGTGTCGAACACTTGAATTCTTTCGGATGATAGAATCGTTTCGGTGTTTTTTCAAAAAACGCAAGGATTGGTTTTAAGTCCAGAAATGTGGCCAACTCATGTATTTCATACGAAGTATCTCGCGTGATCTGTATATGACCTGTATACATGTATTCCACAGTTGCTTCCAAAACTTCATGGCACACGTCTTCAAATGTACACGTTATGGGGTTACGTTCTTTAGCGTCTGGCGTGGAAAATAGTTTTCGGAAGAAGCTACTGCAAGCAGCAAGAACGGCTTTGTGCGCACGTACAGTTCTCTCACGGTCCTCTGAGTGAAGTAAAACATCACAAAGTAGTTCCTCTTCCCATAGAGCATAGAGGTTGTTCAGTACTTTTTGAGGATGCTGCAAAGATGAAAACAGTTTGCCTCGACAATACAAGGGAAGATATGACATTTTCTTTGGCTTGTGGTGTCAGCTTAGAACAGCGTCATTCTAAAACAACAAAATATACAAGAGAAAAATCAGAACAATCTGAAGCTATATTAACTGAGGTATAAAAACTTGCAATTGCTGCAGTCAATTGTACAGCCAATATGTGAACAAAACATCCTTGTATTTTATAAATTACACATTATACACTCACAACTAGCAGTATGAAACACGTAGCTTCTGTTGCATAATATTGATGCCTCATTTTGTTTGTTAAAAATAAATTCTATGCATTCTACATTTAATTTATATAAACACACATACAAAGCTGCTGCCACATTGCTTTTATTCTCACTGCAAAGAATTCCAAGTCAATTATATAGTTAGGTACAATATATAAATTTCGGATTTAAAAAATGTTCTATCAATATCATAATTAATTGGGACTTATATGACCTTTATTTTGTATTATCTCACAGTATCTACAATGTATACGTACCTTCAGAATACATTGCAAGCACCACAACCTACATGTACATTGTACATGTTATACATTTTTGTATTATGTGTAATAAGTGCCATCTTCACTGTTTAAACACAGTAGAACTGCCTTCCAGTAGCTTAAAGTACAAGTTACATGAATTAAACATGAGATATTGTAAATTGTATCAAACCATAATTTGTTAAATAGCAGCTCCCCCTAACACCAGCCACCAAATTGCAGGCACTGAATGGGGGTAAAATTCACAATTTGTTTCAAACATAATGAATAAGTAAATATATACTGCCAAGAATTTTCAATTGAGGCCGCAACAAGAAATTTTTCTGGATGACATCAGCACAGTCATTAATTTTTGCCTGATTTTGGGAAAAAAATTTTTTTTGCCCTTTAACAGTGATCAACATGCCAAAAATGGGCAAATATGTTGTAAATGCCTATCTGTCTGGAGACCGTCAGGGATACAGCAAACTTGAGGCACAATGGTTCGCGTTTGATTTGCTACAATTTCTAGATGACTGAGGTCTTTATACATCTACAATGATTGTTAAATACAATAATAAAAAATCTGTTTGGTTGTGATATCATTTTTCCCGTTTAACAAGGCTTAAGACCACATAATTTGAAAAGTAAAGAATCTTGTTTTTTTGCCTGCCTTTTTTTTTCTGCCCTATCGCATTAGATTTAGTCTGCAGAGAATGTCATCCGTAAAATCTACTTGTTGTGGCCTAAGTATAGTAATATACTTTCATGTATTTATTTATCTCTGTTTGTAAAGTTATGGTTGTTATTTTGTGGTCACCCAGTCTCTTTTGTGATTTTCTGTATTAAATAGTAATATGGGGACCACAGGAAGAATAGCTAAAGCTAAATGTGGATCCAAATTATGTCAAAAATCATTTAAAATGTGCCTATCTTTCCAAAACTATTTATAGAATTGTAAAGCCTAGAATTTATCTTTGGTGAATAGTACAAATTTTCAAAAGGTTTTCATACAAATCCTTGCAATTTCATGCTATTCATTTGTTACAGTATTTGTTTAAAGGCCTGTCTTATAACGTGCCTTTTCAATAATTTTCATATGCAGCATTCTTGCTTTTCCGTTGACAATTAATATATACAATACTGCTGCTATCACCTTACTTATACATTCCTGATTAAAAAAAAAATTTGTCTATCATCTACTTCGTATAAATGTCACCGGGAACTTAGAATTTCTAGTAACTGCAACAAGGAACTGCACCCAAACTTAATGTGATGAAAAACAAAAAAAATGTACAAAATATAAACTTATTAACAACAAATTTGAAAGTGATCTTTTTCATTAGTTTTGTTATTAACGTGATACTGCAAGTCCTTTTTTCTGTATGATATTTCCAGAAGCCCTATTAAAGGTACAATTTTCAATAATCTCATTCCCTTTCATCATAAATTCCATTATGCAGGAATGCAAAATGCAAACTAGAAGTAGAAAGGTAACATTTGCAAAGCAAATGCATAATGTTTACCTTCACATATGGTCTGCTCTGTTAATTCTTACTCAAACACGTTCATATATATGGTCAGAAAGGAGTGTAAATCCCTCCTACTATAAAATTGCAACATGATGTAACCCAACACCAGTTACCATGGTGACAGATGGTCTGGTTCAGGTCATTGACCAGGTCACAGGTCAGTGTTTGGAACGGAAGAAGAAACAGAGCAAAAACAATGTGTTTTCCTTCGGTAAACGTATTAAAAGGTATTCATACATGTAATCATATTAAGCTTAATCATATAAAGTTGATGTTCTTTACTTTTAAGCTTTGATTTTAGTCGGTATCAAATGTTTTAAGAGAAAACAAATTTCTTCTCAACAAATTATACAAGCACTTCTTGATCTGTTTCTTCAACATTATCTTCCTCTTCATCATCATCATCATTGCTATCATCATCATCATCATCACCAGCTTGTCTGTGATTGGTTGGAGGGTGGATGTAGCACTCCTCTTCCTCTTCTTCACACATGCACCTCCCAAAGGATTGTGGGAGGGTGATGACGCAACACCCTGACCCGCCCAGTTTCTCGGGGAGTTGGGTGAAACGTTGCCAGCTGTTCCGCGTGGGGTTGTAGGTGTGGACGTCTGAAAGGGTACAGTAAGGCTCGACGCTGAAGGACCAACCACCCAGCAGGTAGATCTCCCCTAAAAAAATGGAACATTCCAGTTTGCTGTAAGTTTACACTGACACTGATGCAAACTTACAAAGCAAGTTTGAAAAACTTGACTACAAAGGTAACATTTGCAAAGTAAATGCATATGTTTACCTTCCCATATTGTCTGCTCTGTTAAATCCTACTCAAACACATTCATATATATGGTTACAGGAGTCTAAATCCCTCCTGCTATAAAATTGCAACATGATGTAACCCAACACTAGTTACCATGGTGATAGACGTCTGGCCCAGGTCATTGACCTTATTTGTTTGGAGAAGAGGAAACTTTGCATATGGTCTGCTCTGTTAATTCTTACTCAAACACATTCATATATATGGTGACAGGAGTCTAAATCCCTCCTGCTATAAAATTGCAACATGATGTAAACCAACACTAGTTACCATGGTGACAGACCTCTGTTTCAGGTCATTGACCTTATTGGTTGGGAGAAGAAGAGGAAACAGCAAAAACAATATGTTTTCCTTCGGTATACATAAAAACTAATAGGGTGCATTGAACACACTGACTGAAAACGCATTATTATTATTGCAATATAGTCTGAGCAATGGTAATACACATGTAGTAATAATGTAAGAAATACTTCATCATGCATGATAGGAACTTTTGGAGACAGTATACTAGTACATCCAGTGTCACCTCATTGAGGTTGTATGTACTGAGGCTAAAGCAATTTGGCACTGCCCCTGAGGCATCGCCAAAAATGCTGCCACCTCTAATTATAAGCCCATTGCTAAAATGACAAATGTGGAACCTACCATTGTATGTGATGCTGGCACCTCCGGTTTGTGGTGCTACCAGAGATTGCACAGAAGTCCACTGGCCCGTGCGGATGTTGTAACACTCCACATCAAAGACATCCGCCACGGCAAAGTGCATGTAGAAGGCGATGTCTTCCCCTGTTGAGTTCTGGTACCCTCCCATGGCGTACAGGCAGTCTCCGACGGCTGACATGTGGTGAAAGGCACGAGGACGCCGCATGGATGCTTTCTGGGACCACCCCTGCGTGCTGTGGGGGTTCATACACCACAAGTCTGCCCGATACTCATTCATGAATCCACCGCCGCATACGTAGATCACGCCATCGTGAACGACCCCTGCATGTCCGTATACGGGACTCTCCAGCTGGCTCACCTCAAAGTCCCACGTGTTCGTTTCGGGATCGTAAACCTCCACCGAAGACAGCTCGTGGTTGCCGTTTCTACCCGCCACCGCGTACAAGCGATCATTGGTTGCTGCCAGGTAGAAGTCGGTCCGATTCTCGCGCATGTCGGCGGCGCGGTACCAGCGGCCGTGGCGGCCATCCTGCCAGTTAGGCATAAACCGCCATACTGAACTCATGGCGGAGTGGTAGCCGAACACAGCGTTGGATTCTCCTCCTGCGATGTAGACAAAGTTATTAATAACAGCACAGCTGTGGTAGCTTACCGCTTGTGGCAGTTGGACCTTCCCAAGCCGTTTCCACTCTTTCGTTGGCGGGTACAGATAATACACGTTGGCAGTTTGGTTGCTTTCTTGGGAACCGCCGAAGACAACTACCGTCTTGAAGTCCGAGCGTATGCTTGTTTCCTGCGACCTGACAAGAGGTTGACGAGAGATCTCTTCGTTGTACTTGACTCCAGCTTCAGCGAGGCTGAAACAATCCGGCACTTTGTCGAAGATAGCTCGTGCGGGTCCCTCCCCGGCGATCATCAACTGTCGGTTACTCATGATCGGGAATCGAACCCTCTTCATCAGTCGTAGAGCGTGCTGCATCCGAGAACCTTCGTACTCGTAACGCAGCCATTTGCACGCGGCAAAAAGCACCTGGCCTTCATGATCCACCCGCAAAGAACTACTACTAAGGATGGTTTCCATCTGCCCCACTGTAAGCTTGTGGAAATCTGCAGAACTGGTGAATGCCTTGAAGTTCCTAGCAATTAAGTCACAGAAGGCAGCTTCTAACCTTGGAGAACAATACTCCATGGCAATTTGCTGCATTTCCATACAGTTCTTCAGGTTCAGAGACTGGATGAAAGAATTGCAGCAGAGATCTATGGCAGATACAGCCTGTAGGTAAGTGGCTAGTTCTAACTGTCGGAGGGCTTTCTCACCAGATAGGTCCATCTTCCCAGTGTACATGAAATCAATCAGCGACCGTAACCCTTCGCCGTTGACCCCAGAGAGGTCGATGTGATCCATGGTGGCTTCTTTCATTCCTGATGTGAACATGGCCTTGAAGTAATCGCTGCAACTGGCTACAACCAGTTTGTGAACTTTGATGCTGCCGCAGTCAGTATTGATGGTGAAGTCTGTGTACTTCTCTTTGTCTCGGAGTTCGCTCAGACCTTGAAGCAGCGGTTCCGCGTGGTGCAACTGCAAGCAACGCCCGAAGTCGCGCCGAGTCGTGATCCCATTCCCGCAAAGGATCCCCAGATTCTTGATCATCTTGTACACTTCGCTGTTCGACAGGTTTGTATTCGGTAAAACTCGACCATACAACAGATCCACCATTACTTGCAGTTTTTCAAAGGGAAGGATATCAACTTCTAGGGTTTTAATTTCTGTACTGTCTAGCTTTTCTTTGAAGTAGAGACTACTTGAAATTAAGATGGGTTTATGAGCATGTAGTGTTTGGCCATCTGCACTGAGCACAACATCACACATCACTCCATCTTCCCGTAGCTCGTACGCATTGGCCAATAGCAGGTCAGCATGAGCCTGTAACATTGCAGCTAGGGCTCCTGCATCACTGCCCTCTGATTGGTCAGCTTTGCCTCCATCTGCTGGCATTACTTTGTTATGATTGGTCACACCAGCTATTGGTTGATTGCAAGCTATACTGTCATGTGATTGGTCCATTTGACAGTCCTCCTGTGCAAGGGCAGAAGCCTCTACGTTTCCTGTGACCTGATTGGTTGGTTGTTCTGCATGTCCGTCAGTTGCCTCTGCATGTTCCATAGCTACCTGGAAGCCACAGGGCATGCATGGGTTAGATAGTATCAGCGTAAAAACCAAGAGAGAAGAAAGTAGTCTTTTTTAGACGCAGTTGCTTGGAATGTAGAAAGTAGTGCCTTATCTAATAAACAAGCAGACGTACCATATGTGCCTGAAAGTGTGATGTGTGTGCATATGTCATTGTGTGTTCATGTGTGTGTAAGTGTATGTGCATGTGTGCAATGTGCATGCATGTGTATTTGATTTTCTGTATGTGTACATGTATGTGTGTGTGCATGCATATACTAGTAGTATTTCTGTATGTGTATGAGTCAGAGTGTATGTGTGTGCATGCATGAAAGTGTATTTCTGTATGATTGTGTATGAGTGTATGTGTGTGTGTGTGCATATATTTGTATTTCTGTATGTGTATGAGTGTATGTGTGTGTGTTCATGCATGTGTATTTCTATGTGTATGACTACATTGAGTGTATGTGTGTGTGTGTGCATGTGTATTTCTGTATGTGTACGAGTGTATATGTGTGTGTGCATGTATGCATATTTCTGTATGTGTATAAGTGTATAGGTGTGTGTGCATGCATGTGTATTTCTGTAATTGTGTATAAATTAGTGTATGTGTGTGTGTGTGCACGCATGTGTATTTCTGTATGTGTATGAATGTAAGTGTGTGTGTGTGAATGCATGTCATTTTGTATTTCTGTATGTGTATGAATGAGTGAGTATATGTGTGTACGTCATGACAGAAGCAAGGGCAGCTTTAACCAAGGTTTATTGTGTGCAAAAGCAACAATTAATTGGTGCCAACTAGCTAGTTTCTACCAAAAAAAACACATCTGTACTCTGTTGGTCAATCAAAAGTCGGATAGTCAACAAATGTATGTGTAATTACATAAAATAAACCCTATAAATTTGCTACTAGTATTCAAGGCTTTTAATTCTTATTTGCTTGCTAGGCAGAATTACACTTTGAAGGAAGATCATTTCCCTTGTAAATCTATGTCAGATTTAGAAGTCAAACTGTTAACAACAGTGTGAACATTGAAAACCCGAAGTCTATATTTTATCTATGAAGATGGAAAAAGAACTAGAAAGGTAATGTTTGCAAAGGAAATGCATAATGTTTACCTTCCCATATGGTCTGCTCTGTTAATTCTTACTCAAACACATTCATATATATGGTCTAGACAGGAGTCTAAATCCCTCCTGCTATAAAACTGCAACATGATGTAACCCAACACTAGTTACCATGGTGACAGACGTCTGGTTCAGGTCATTGACCTTATTTGTTTGGAGAAGAAGAAGAGGAAACAGAGCAAAAACAATAATGTTTTTCTTCAGTAAACATCTGTCAGAATATATGATACATGTACATAAAAAAATTATGGGGGTTTGATTAACCTTTAAAATTTTAAACCTATCCCTATCTCAGTATCTGCTTGCACCAACATTGAATGAGAACATATCATATGTGAAACTGGACTTGCTGATGTCATCATGTTGTTACTATATTTGGCAAACAGTCTCATGTTGAAGACGTACATTGAGCCAAAAATATATGAATATATGGGCCACACGGTCACCAACTGTCTTTGGAGCTTCACTCAATGACGTTAAAAATCCTTGCTTCACCCAATAATTCTATATGACATTGGCCCAATCTTTGTGAACATAACAAAATATGTTTGCATAATTTTTTTACTTCCGCAGGAACTGATAATGCATACAGCATAAGTAAGAGAAACACTTGCATAGAATAGAAAGCTCAGATAATAAATGAAATTATGTTTGTCTGAAGAACAACTGATTCACATATTTAGAACAAGGACAAACATAACATATTTAGTAGATGAATCATAATTTGAAGGTCAGCTAGACTCAAGTTGAGACATGACAAACTTAGCGCTGACGTAACAATCATATCATAAGTCTTGGTGCCATAACGTGAAATATAAGACATGATTTGCATAAGGAAGATGCTCTAACCTTGGTCAGCACATGTACACACCCCTTGCCCCTGTTGTCGTCGGACGATCTAATATTAGATCTCCAAAATTAGGCAGAAAACAGGACAACAACTTGACAGAAAAATTATGGTGTCACTGGTCATGACTTCATTCACGAGTTGCACATTCCCAGGATCCTTTGCGCCCAGGGTAGGTCACGTGGGCGTCAGGGTAGGGAAAGGTCGCGGTAAACCACGTGACTCATCCTCGGCTCTGGTCGGAAGAAGTCGGAAGTGTTCGCGAGCGCTCGGAAATTTCAAAAATGACTGACACCACTGCCGGCGGAGGGAGGTACGTAGTTTTTCACGGCGTTCGTACGGCAAAGCGGCATTGAATTTTTGCTCCATGACTATCGGTATGGGATAGGATAGGGTTGATTCAACACACTACGTGAAAATGTGAATGCTCCCAGCCTACTATCGGCCAGATATCGCTTAGGGCACCTTCTTCCGACCAGAGCCGAGGATGAGTCACGTGGTTTACCGAGACCTTTCCCTACCCTGACGCCCACGTGACCTACCCTGGGCGCAAAGGATCCTGGGAATGTGCAACTCGTGAATTTTTTTCCCGACGGCGCTGTGCATTGTGGGTAAATACTAGCTGTAAGGTCAGAGGTTAAATATTTCCTGACGTCACTTCCGAAACATCTATACGTCACTTCCGGTTTTGCCAGACTGATGGAAACAGCTGTCTTGGTGATGTTTTTGTAACTGATCGACTGCGTGAGTTATTAATATGGTTATATTTAGTTCGTTATGGACGTTTTGCTTGTACATACGATATTGTGTTATGCTGGTCTTCGCTTAACCCGGCATATTTTTGCCTGGGTGGGCTTCAGAACGCGAGTGAAAGCACGGAGTCGAATTTCTGGAAAAATGCGCTACGCTAGCAAAAATATCGTAAAAATGTCAACCTAGCGCCGCCTATAATTTTGCTAGTCAGTAGATCGTTAGAAGTAGCCAGCTAGCGCGGTGTGTGCGTGTGTGTTCCACCTCCCCTCCTTCCTTTTTCTCGTACGGGACTCAAGCGAAAGTGCCCAATCATGCCAGGTGTGTTTGACAGTTATCTTCAAAACTTGACCGTTACAAAATTTAAATTTTATCCTTGACGTTCGCTGTTGGTGTTTTGTTTACTAATTAAGTATTAAGTGTTAACAAGGCCAAGGGACATTCACTACATATTTGGTTGTCTTTATTAATAATAATTGATGTGACAAGTTGGGTCTGTTGAACCTGAAACGTGCGTTGTCATGGTAACGTGTTGATAACAAGTTGTGGTTGGTTGAAGGCTGCTTGCCTTGTTAGCTGTATAAGATGACAGGCCACTTACTGCAATGACGTTGCGCTGTTGGGTGCACTTTTGTGTGCAGGCCACATGTTATGATCATGGTAGGGGGCCCGCATGCCCGTTTCCGTATTTGTATCAGTATATCCAGTATAACTGCCCTTCAGCGTAACACACCAGCTTCGCAGGCACGTGGCGCGGCGGCAGCTGGCTACATCACACCGAACGACTTGTTACACCTAACCCTTGAACAATTCTACTACAATGTAGTAACTCTAGACATTGTTTAAAGCTTAGGCATCTAATGACAATGCCCCTACTGTACTTGGTGACAGCGAGTTCTGTGATAGTTCTAGGGGGGGGGGGCTGCATCTGGGAAAGAATGAACTCTTGAACACCTCAATCCTTGGTTGATAACTCTGGTACATGTACTTGAAGACATCAGGCTATTTAAATGTTCTCTTCTGAGCTGCAGTTTTGTAGAGCGTAATCGACCAAGAGTGTGCCCTTTATTTTGTAGAGCTTATTATTTAGACGGACCTCTCTAATTCAGCACAGTGTAATTGGCGCATTTTGCGTGGATCTAGAGCATAATTTTAATTCTAGGTAATGCAATGTAGCTACCCGGAATTTATCGTAATACGTAGCTGGCTCTCAAAATTTAGCGTAGAGCAATGTCGGGACACCCCCCCCCCCCGTGTACACTATATGACATCCAGTAGATTTCTAGCGGGGACCAATCATAGGGCTGCTGACGCGTCACCGACTAGCGGCTATTAGCACCTTGTTTCATGTAAATGCAATGAACTCAACCAGAGCGCGTATATTGTTTCTTGTTTACATCAGTACTAAGTAGTACTTCCACAATCAGTTAGTAAAGTCATACCTTAGTAAAATCTACTTTGATGAACGAATCAAAACGGGACTGTAGACATTAAGTTTTACACATTCAAATGGGGCTGCACCAGCGCTAATGGAGCGACCACTACGTACGGGAAGGAACGGATCTGAGCGAAGCCGAGATTTGTGAACCAAACCCAACCCATCGAAGACGGGCCGCCAAACATAAAAATGGAGGGAAATGACAGACAACAAGCCAACAAAGACAACATCACCAGACCAACAAACTCGGAGAACATCACAGCAACTTCAAGCGTTAACGTTGTAAGAACTGTGGAACCTCAAACTAGTATGTTTGCGTCAGCGGAAAGGCTGTCGAAGTAACCACTAAAAAGTAACATGGGTTCGTCCCAAATCTAGACGCAAGTGAGCTACAAAAGTAATAGAACCTATGCATCTTGCTTGTTGCTGTCAACTTACCCGTTAAAGATTGAACCGATACATGTACGTACTATAACTTGCCATACCCGGCCAAAGACGACTACATTACTGTTACTCTTCATTTTGTGCTGTATAATGTATATGCGTTACATTATCTATCATTGTCATTTCTGTGAATTCCTTAGAACATCTACTGTTAGTTTGTGTAACATTACGTAGTGCTACAATCTGCGTAAAAAGTGGGCTTCATTACGTGTTATCTGCTAAGTCGTGTTGGTATTGAAAACTGTTTTATTGTGCCGTTCTTCTACAAACAGCCAGCAGAATTATGAAGATACTCGTTCTCAATACACATGCTGCAAACTAAAGTAGTGGCAGTCCTACGAAAATTCTGTTTGTAATGTATAAGCGCTTTATGTCGACGTACAATGGGTGTGAAATACATGTTTTCGCCCATCGTGTGCCACCGGCTCGGTGGTAATTGGCTACTTTACAAGTGAAAGAACCGCGTCCGTGGGCCTTGATAAATTATTCAAATTATTCAGCAGCCCTCTGATTGGTTCCCGCTAGA